CTGAACCCGGGACACCTGTCTATTTTGAATCTGCCTGCTGCTGAACGGGTAGCAACAGGAAAAGCTTTCTCTTACACACTACCTAATATATCGAACTATGTAGAAAACATATCCCCTCTTAGGGTCCTCTTTTTTCCCAAGCCTTCAGAAACACTGTGGCCTAATCTCTTTGGTCTCAGTGTTTTCAATAATGAAGCAGTTCCCTGAAAAACATTACTTCATTTCTCATTCTGTAGACACAGTAAATCAAGCAAACACAGCAGTTCAAGAAGAGTGTTCTTGATTTCTTAGAATTCCTCAATAGGCCTTCTTACTTAAAATCCTGGATAAAGGAGGATAAAGGATAAACAGGCAATGGCTGAACCCAGATATTTCTTTTGACTGATTTTTAAATTCCTCTTAACATGTTAACATCCTTAAAAAAAGTTTCTAATATAGAAATTTGTCTAAAAATCGCTTTCTTCTTTGTTGCTAGATGTGGAAGTAACTGTGCAAAGGAGAAAGGCTGGAAGCCCTGCAATAACTCTTCAGATCAAAAATCCTCCAGCAGCAGACATATCAGTAGACATCATCTTGACACTGGAAGTTCAGCAGAGCTGGCCACCCAGCACACAGGATGGCCTCAAAATTGAACTGTGGCTGGGAAGAAAAGTCAAGGGATGGTTCAGAAACAAATCAATTTATTTAGTAGCCAAACAAAACAAAAAAGAAAAGGTTCTAAGAGGTACCTCAAATACAGACAATAAGTCTATGTTATGAAATACCTTCTGTAGAACTTGATCACTTTCAAGTGCTCTAAAAAAGGGTATCCAGATTCTGTTCAGTATTCTGTTTTCAAGGTACAGATTTTTATCTTATCCTGGATATATCTGGATCAAAGACAATTGAAATCTGTCTTTAAAACCATCAGATCTGTGGTACTGCTCATCTTGTATCAAAATCTAAAGACAAAACTACTCTGCGGGGTTGCACACTGACTGTTGCTAAGAGCATTATATTAAATCTGCCAAGTCAGACCCATGGATATAAACCTTTCCTGTGCTAGTGCTGTACTCAACAGCAACATGCACTCCTCAGCTTTTTAAGAAGAAAGTAAAAGGAGCTTTCTAAAAAGGCAGGAACATCCCTGTAAGTGGGACTGTATACACAAGTTACAGACTTCCACAGGAACTAAACTATACTTTCCTAGCAAGACATTTGGTTTCTCACTGAACTCTTATATGGCTACAACGTTGTTTTTGTTTCTCCAGGCCACTGTCACACCAAGCATACATGAGTTTGCAGAAACATCACAATTTGTCATCATTCTATAAGAACTGCTGATTTCAACAAAGAGTTCAGACAATCTGGTATTTTTTTAAAAATTAGCATGCCCATCTTAACAATGCCAAGGAAATCATTACTGGGCTATCTCTTCCTGTGAAATTCAATTGCAAAGAGTAACTGAATCAGACAAGGGAAATAGTCTAATTTATGAAAGGAAGACAAAAATGATTGCTGGTGTTTTTAAAAGAGGGGGTTGAGCTGTGTTAACCACTGGTTTTAGAAACGTAGAATCACAGAATGGCTTGGGTTGGCAAACACCTTAAGATCATCTAGTTCCAACCCCCTGCTATGGGCAGGACTGCCTCACCTTAGACCATGTTGCCCAAGGCTCTGTCCAACCTGGCCTTAAACATTGCCAGGGATGGGGCATTTACAGCTTCTTTGGGCAATCTGTTCCAGTGTCCCACTACCTTCGCAGTAAAGAACTTCTTCCTTGTATCATGACCAGAAGGACAAAAAGAAATACTTTAGAACAGTCACCTTACCTGAGACAAACTCACAAGCTGATTACTTGCTCAAAGAAACGGAAACCAATGGTGAAGATTTTTTTATTCAAAACCAGGAAGGTTATGCAGTGAGGCTAATAATGCAGGAGTTCAAAGATAGTGGATTTCTACGAGTAGTGTAAGTCCCCAAATCACATTCAACACATGCAAGAAAGTTCAGAAATTAATTTAAACGTAAATCCAAGCAGTCTGAAGAATATAGTTCAAACATCCAAACAATTAACTATGTCCTATATTAATAACATCCTACTTGTCCTTTGGTGGAACAGCTGGGGAATTCCAGAGGAATTAACTAATTGTAGTCCCTGAATTACATTTTATTTAAGTACAAAGAAATTGCTGATATTTAAGATGAAGTCAATTATAAAGCATTTTTTTTTTCCTGTTGCAGACACTTGGTACTTGCTGCTGTGTAACAATTTAACAATCTTGTACTCAACTTTAGGAAACACCTGGCGACTCTCTTTCTCGCATATCGAGAAGGACATTCTGAATAACCACGGCAGCTCAAAGACATGTTGTGAATCTGATGGACTAAAGTGCTGTAGGTTGGTATTCCATACAAGTATTTCACTTTAATCCTGTGTGAGCCAGGCTAGCACTGTTTCAGTTTAACATTTAAGAATGTGATCTGAAGCTGATTACTTATAATATAGGGAGCAAGAATAAGGAAGGCTTTTATGCATCACTGTCCTAACAGCAGTACAACACTGCATGTACTCGCTGAACATCTGACTTGCAAATGCTCAACAAGAGGAGGAGACAAATCACAGACAGGTTTACACTCCAGACTTGCCTTGGAAAGCAAAAAGGTACTACTTGTTTAATCTTTCCCAAACTCAGTCCTGTTTAGAACCAGTTTAGAAGTCTGATGCCTCAGCTTTCTGAGCTTTGGGAGTGAATACCTACACTTCATACCAAGGCAGTTTCTACAATGATGATGAGGAAAGAACCTGCTGAATGGGATCAGGATTTTTCACTCACATAAAGACTGTTTTCCACATTTCTTCAAAGAACAAAACCCAAATGAGGTACAGAACCTCCCCTTAATGGCAAAGCAACTTCTTAGTTTACTTAATTACACCTTGTGCTGAAGCAAGAAAGTTACAACTAATGCATAATTTTTTGTCTTTCCTTTATGAAAAGCAAAGACAGACATGCTACACCCCTACCTAGCAGTGTATTAAACTGCATATATCTCTTTTCCTCATGGCATGTCACAAGAAGGTAGTGAAATACCCCAATATATCAAATGGGCAGCTTTAATCTTAAGCAGTGCTCCAAGGTCATGTTATAGTGGGAAGGCTGCACTGTGTGAGCATGCTGCTGACCAACACTTCTTTTGTCTATGTTGCTGTGGCTACCAGTGAAAGTGGTATACACACAAAACCTAGTTTAAAGTAGAAAACCTTCACTGTTAGAATCTGACTTCATACACAGTAGTTCTGCATTATTCAGCCTATTGTTGCACTTCTCTTCAGATTTTATTCAAAACATCATTGAAAATGTTATTCAAGTAAGAACATTTTATTGTTTTCATGAATACTGTGTATTTAAATACCTAAAATACATATTTAGAACTATATGGAAGATACCTAATAAATTCTTATTTATTTAACAGGAAAAGTTGTCTTAAGCTTCTGAAGCATCTTCTAGAGCAACTTAAGATGAAATACCCCAAAAAGTTGGAAAAATTCTGTTCGTATCATGTCAAAACTGCTTTTTTCCACTCATGTGTCATATGGCCAAACGACACAGACTGGCATTTGGGAGACCTGGATTATTGCTTTCAGAAATGTCTGGGATATTTTCTGGATTGCCTGCAAAAGTCTCAGCTGCCACACTTTTTTATTCCCAAATACAATTTGCTCAGCCTGGAGGATAAAGCGAGCAACAACTTCCTTTCAAGACAAATAAACAGTGAATTGAACAATGGATTCCCAATATTTCAGGAGAGGTTTTAAAACCACTGTTTACAATAACTATCATGTAGATTTGCAGATTTAAAACCAGAAGTTTTGCACCTTAAGTTACTCCTCAGTAGTCTGATAAAGAAATCAAAATCAAGAACACAGAAAAAAATTGCATACTTCAGCTATAGCTTAGCCACAACCCTTAAAAGAAATAGGAATTTAGTATTTATCTTCTGTATCCAAATGCAGATGTCGTCTGCAACGTATGCTCATGGAATATATAGAAGAATTGGCAAGTTACTTTCCTACATGTAATTTCTATGATTCCAAACAAAGGCATCAGTGACTGCATAAAATGAAAAAAAGACAATTTTATTTAAAATGAAGATCCACTGCAGAATATCAAAAACACGCTCCTGCTTTCAAAACGTAAAGGCACTGGAGTTGCTTTCATATAAACCAGAACAACTTCTCCAGATCAACTGAGCGGATGATCATCACCAACAGTGAGTGAGCAGAGAGAGAATATGTCATCAAAACATTATGAAGTTCCTTATCTTATACTAGTTACTTATGGAGTCTTCAGAATTGCTTTGGAAATTGTTTTTTTTCACTGGACTTTGGATGGGAAGCAATTGTTATCTAATGTGCTGCAACAAAGTAAAAGTTATTATGCCATGAGCGTTTGTGTGATGTATCTTGTGGAAAGAAATGTATCTTTAACCCATACCAAGGTGGAACAGTCTCCCTGTGAAAGGTTTTCAAAGCCAAAAATGCAGCATGAATCGGAATTCAGCTCAGTTTTTCTTACACTGAAGAGTCTGTTAGGAAAAAAAGAGTAATTGTAATTATTTCCTATTATTAAAAATGTGCAGGTGATAATACCAGCATTTGGGAATTGTTGTGCTGTAAGTAAATAAATATTTTCTTTTTCTTAAAGAAGCTATGGGAAGTTAGCTATTCAAGGCCAGGTTGGACATGGCCTGGAACAACCTGTTAAAGAGTGGGAAGTGTACCTGCCCATGTCAGGGGGGTTGAAACTAGATGATCTTTAAGGTCTCTTCCAGTCCTAACCATTTTAAGTCTATATTTTTAGCCAACGTTTTGAAGGCAAAATAACCTACTGGCTTAAATAATGCCCAAATTTCACCTCAATTATGAGCAAATAAAGAGGGAAGGTCAGAAAAACATCTCACTAGATTCAAGTTTATTAATTTTTCCATGTACTTACAGGACACATGACTAAACAAATTCAGACCAAGTATCAAATGAAGTAGCTCCTTCCCATCTAACTTCTAAAGAGTGAAAGCATATCCCAGTGTCATTAAGAATCTGTGTGACAGAACCAAATCCAAATGTAAAATTCAAATGAATTTTATCCGAACTTTCAAACCTATGTTTTCTTCATAACTTTGTTAACACTGCTCTAGTAAACTCTTGGTTTAGTTCCTTAAGCAAGAAAATTACATCTATGATAACAAGAGTAAAAGCTGCTTTTTTTTTCAGCAGTTAGCCATGGACATGTATTTCTTGTTACGCTCTCCTCCATTAAAAAGAAATGTAGAATTCTCTCAAAAAAAGCTAGAGACACATCAAAACAAAAATGTCTTTCAGTGTTAAGTTTTAAAATAAAAACCAAACCAAACTTGCTTCAGCAAATAGTTAATGCAAACAACAGTTTTCAAATAACTAAGTTATCTTTGGAAAAACTGCATGCCACTGGGAAGTGTGATGTATCAATGCAAAAGTCCAGCATTTTGAAGCCATGCTGACAAATACTGCTTACATTCACTAATCCAGTTCTCTGAAAATAAAAAGAAAAATTGTATTTTACATTCTTATATTAATACATTTAACCAAAAAAACAAAGCAAAAAACCCCACAAACCCCAACAAAATCCACAAACCCAAAACCCAACAACCAAAGCCACGGTGTTTATTTTTTAACCAGTAGATAATGACTTTATAAATTACGCACATCACAAGAAAAAATATTTTCTTTTTAAATGAAATTAATTTTTCCTAAGTGAAAATAGTGTTCATGCACAAAACTAGATTTATTTCTGTATGAAGTTAAACCAGTTTTCTTTTCTAAGCCACTTCTTAAAACACATTTTATTTAAATGGGACAGGTACAGAAAACAATCAACTGAGAAAAGCAACTTCTAAATTCAAGCCCATAGAGGCTAGCACTAACTATAATCACTTACTCTTTTCTTACTGCAGGGGATTACAGTTATCTTGAGGGCTTGCTCTGAGGTCTTCGTATATCCTTCCCGATTTCTTTTCTAATTTGAAATTCTTTGTATCTTTGTGCCATTGCAATAAGCTCATTCGGAACAATCTGATAAGAAAGTAGCACAAGAACAAGGCCAGTTTTATATAAATCTAAAATTTTAGACCCTACTTTACAAAAAAGTCATTGATTTGTGTGCTCCCAAACTTGATTTTGTTATTTATCAGGCCTCTGTCATTTTGCAAATTGTCTTTCTGTAGAGATCCATAGAGAAGCCTTTTTACATAAAATTATACTCAAAAATATACTTACAAATAATCAGCACAGAGTCTCTGGATTTTCAATGACATATTTATACTCAGATCACCTTATCTGACAACAGCATACAGCCAGCTAATTAAAACACAAGTATTTCAGGCAGAAATGTATGTCGGTGATGATGAACAGATGAAAAAAAAAATGTCCAACTCCACTGTCATGGCAGACATTAATGCAATGTTTGCTGCAAAATGCAGTACAAGTGTCTACTGACAGAAGAGGTTTTGGATCACTCATCTACCAAAGCCAGCCTGGTTTGACTATCTGCTACAGCATGTAACTATGCAGCAGGTAGGGATATCCAGCCCAGAATCAGTTTCCTGATCGGAGAGCAAGCTCACACAGTGCATGTGAGCACAGCATTAATGTGATTGCTCAGCCTCTGTGGTTTGTCTCCCTGTGACTGGCACAAATGCAGCACAAGCAGTACAGTACAAACACTTTCAAGTCTCCTTAGAAATGCCTACACCTGACAATGCTTGAACAGGTGAAGAATGCAGCCAGGGCAGTATGTTCCTCCAGTTTCCACTTCTTTTGCCATAATTCAGCAATACTTGCCATTTGCTGTAAGCAATTTTTCTTAAGCTGGCATGAGCGTCAGCTTGCTAGCAGGTATTTTACGTGCTGAATTGCTCTTACTGGTAAACAACTGCCCTGGCTATCAGGAGTCCATGCAATAGGATGCATATGGAACAGTCTATTTGGACTCAGTTTTAGACACTGCTTAAAAATAAAGTGAAAAATGATGCATCTCTCTAGCTGAAAATCACTACAGACTTGTATCAAGAGAGAGAAGTAATGAGACAAAGCTAGTTTCCAGTTGAAACACTGGATGATTTCCTTTCTTAGCATCAGATCCTCTCATGCAGTATGAAACAGAGTTTATTCAAACTAATTGGAATTCTCACATTCGTAGTAAGTGGCATAACATCCTTCAAAGAGTTGTAAACTAGAAGATTCAGGTGAAGTTCTAACTCGAGTTAAAGTTCGAGTAAGCATCCACAATAACAACCACAGATCCTAGGTAAAAGCAATTCAGCTTGTACTCAAACTCCCATCCCCCCAAATAAAGTAAAACAAAACAAACAAAACAAAAACAAAACCCAAAGCAACAAAAAAATCAAATTCCAGTCATATTTCCCATACATCTGTAAGAAAAATAGCTTGGAAAAGTACACGCAACTATCACAACTGCCAGATATAATAAACTGAGAGATTCTGATACAAATATTGTTGGTATTTACACCTTCAAATAAGAACATGCATCCAGAAGTGAAATACAAATGGAATAAAGTACTACAAGATAAAATAGGTCCTATTAATCCTATGCAGACCCCATGTGTGCTTACGTTAGTTACTTTTTCTTTGGATGTGGAAGGCTTTAAGTTCCTGGTTCTTTCTGGGACTAATCTGTAAGATAAAATACAGCTACGGACAAGAGAGACTTAACCCATTTTTTGTTTGAGGCACTATGAGCACTCACCAAGAAAAGTGTAAGTAGGCATAGACCTTCATGAATCGTTTCAGCTCGTAACCCAGAACCAACATAAATCTTACCCAGCAAGATGTATTCTTACTTGGTCTGTTCTTTCCAGAATTTCTATCAGCTCAGATGCAAACTTCCAGTTATTCTTAGTGACAAGTGTTATTGCCTCCCCAGTACGTCTAAACAAGGAATGAAATGACTGTTGATCTCCAAAACGACTGCTGCTAAACTCTTCCTACTGACCTATACACTAATAAATTGTACTACAGCCAATATTATTGAATTGGTAAGTAAAAACTGGCTTGAGTATTTACTATGCACATGACAAAGAACAACTTTTCATAAAGATCAGAATATGGCAATTCACCTAAAATGGAGCAAAAGCACAACTAATTTAGACAATAAACCTAGCATAAAGACAACATATTTAAGTATGAAGAGATACGTGCTCATAAAATGATTAAAACAAACACACGCACAAGAAAAAAATAATGGAAAAAACAAACAAACAAGCCACACTTGTGCCTACCTGGGAAAACAGCATTCAAAAGTCCTAACACCACACTACATCTGAAACCTTTAAATTTATGCATGTTTTTTCCCAACAGGCCATCCAGAAAACTAAACAACTCAGTGACTCATGAAGAGACAAACAAGGAAGTGACATTTCAGAATACCTACACAGACATTGTTTTGAGCTGTAATTTTTCCCTACATTTAAACCAGCTTTCAAACATCCCTCTTTCCCATCCACTTCAATGAAGTAACAGAAAAATGGAAAACTTGTTTGCTTAACGGTGAACTAATTTCAAAACATAAAGCACGGTTATCTAAAGCATACTTTGATAGACTCTGAAGTCTTCACTCTCCTACCCATATAAACAACTGCAGTTCTAGCATTTGACGAAACACCTATGCAGTGCATAAAGTATTGACAATATATTACTGTCTTCTTGTAAACATTTACCCTGCTCTTCCAGTACGACCTACTCGATGAACATATTCTTCAATGTTGCGTGGGAAGTCAAAGTTAAAAACATGAGTAATATCATGCACATCAAGGCCACGGGAGGCTACGTCAGTAGCTACCAGTATTCTGACTCTGCCTAAAATAAATACAACAGAAAGAGAATGGGACTTTATGGAATAAACAGAAAATATACTCCAGTCTATTGGATTTCTAGCATATAATGCACTTAATACAAATGGAAAAAAATGTTTGTTGCAAGTCATGCTGAGTTAGCTTCAAATACAAGGTGGTTAAGTAAGCACTCAAAACGTCATTTTACTATTATTTGTATTTCACAAGAAGAACAGCAAGGTGCAGGAGAAGCAAGAAACATACCTAGTTGATATAAAGAGTCTGTGAAAAGAACAGAAACCTCAACAACTTTATTCTCAGCTAGCATCCTTATCATAGGACTACTCTGTTCTACTAACATATGAACACATAACCCCAAAGTATAACCCCTACTGGCACAATCAAAAACAGAATTGTTTCACTGAAAACACCATCATTTGACACTTAAGTTTACCATTCTGCAGACTAATATAATACTGACTTTTCTAGAGACTTAAAAAAAACAAAATAAGCCTCAAATATTTTTAATTCCTAAGACATTCCAAATTTTATTGAAGAGCAATTTGTTTTGTTTTTTGTTTGTTTGCTTGTCAAATTAACAAAGTAACCATATCATTCAGAGCTTTCTAATGTTTTAATTTCTGTGGTACTGAAGAGACATGGCACTTAGAAATACACAAAGTTCTGCACATGACAAGCTTTATAAACCTGGGCTTAAACAAATGAGTACTTTAGTACAAACCTACCTTTCTTGAAGTCATCTAAAGCCTGCTCTCGGTCCCACTGTTCCCTGTTACCATGAAGTGACTGTACTGGAATTCCTTGGAGACTTAAGTCACTTGCTAAGTCATCAGCTCTAGGGTGAAGTAAAACAACAGTTCTTAAAAGAAGTGCAGAATCTGGATTTACATCCAAAAGATAATGTGACAACAAGAACTAAACATGTGCCAAAGGACAAAACCCCAGCTAGGTCAGCTGATATTTATTATGAAAGAGTATGAAGGCAAGACTATGCTCCACATAAATTTTTGCTTTTATTTATGTATAAGAGAAATAACATTACTGTTTTGTGTTGTTCACTCAAAAAGCTCAGGTTTGGTAAAAAGAGTGCTGCCCCCACGTTGTGTATGGAAGTAAGCAGCACATCACATTAACCAAGAATCTTAACACCTACTTTAACTATGTGAAATTGAGATTTACCACCATTAATGACATTAAAAAAAATTAAATAGAAACTACCAGTCAGTCTGGAGGAATGACTAAATAAATAAGTCTATTACTACTACCCACCCATTGTTGACAAAAGTTGTTACACTTCGTAATTACTATGCGAACTAAGAAACTATCAGTATTTCTGTTAGAAAACAGTGAAGAGATGTAATACTGGGAAGTGATTACATACTTAAGTTTTTTTCCCACAAAAATTATGACCTTGTCTTGCGGCTTCATAGACTCAATGAAGCATTGCATGAAAGCTCTCTTTTCTTCCTCGGCAATAACAACAACTCTCTGTTCGACCGTATTTACTGCCTGTTACACAGCAAAAAGGCATGCTAAGTAACAGATGAAAAGTACATTTTCCCCCTATTTCTACCTAAAAGTGTACAGGGTACTAAGTTTTCTTATTCTCTATCATAAAGAAAAAAAAAAAGGGAACTGAAAGGGGAAAAAAAACCCAAAACCTCATAATTTAAGAGCCAAACTTCAAGCAATCTCTGGACCAGGATGTGGAGATCTTAACATTTCTGTAAATTCTGCTGGTACTGAAGCCAACTAAAGTGGCAGAAGCCTGACAAGTATGCAAGTACATATTAGAAGTTTTGGACTTTGAAGACAGTTCTTACAGTAATGCACATACATGTTCCTGCTCTAGACAAAAGCTTTCCAGGAGTTTAGTATAGAGCTTTCACTTTGTTTTGAGAAAGCAGTAGTTAAGAAACACAGATCCAGGTAAGGATCTGTAAGCATTAGAATAAAGATCTTCACAAGGAAAAGTAATTAAGAAACAGAAGTGAAGACTGCAAGAGTAAGGATTCAGGCAAGAACATGTGCCACTCCGAAGTACATTATTCAAGTGTTAATTTGACTGATACTTGTCACTTGTGCCGTCTTCTACTGAAGATCTAGGACTTCAAGATCTTGTTACAGAAACAGAAGAACAAAGTTCTTCCCTACTTGCTTTAAAAAGAATAATGTGGAGCTACTGTTTTGAAAGTTTGGATTGATTTTAAGGTTGCAAGCAAAATATTTCCTGGTTTAACTGTAGGTTCTTCTTCTTATATAGGAAAAATATAACTTACTGCTAAGTCAAGACTGCCAACATATACAATCATAGGATTTTTCAAATAGGATTTTGCTAGGCGACGAACACCATCAGGCCAAGTAGCACTAAACAGGAAGCAAAGAAGAAAAAAAAAAACAACACATGGCTCACTAATTTCATCTCATTCTTCTTTCTTTTCTTATACACTAGTGAAACACTTGAAGATGCAGTAACAGTAATGAGCTTACATAACATTGAGAAATCATCTTATTAGTAAACAGCACTCAACCTTTAAAGATAACTTTCTAGGTTAAAAGTACAGGCAAAAGTTATGGACCCTTTCTAATGAAGCCAAAAGTGAGTTTTGTATTTCAGTGACACCTAACAAGCAAGTTCCTACTAGTTTTCTAACTTCTAGAACAGCAGAAAATTTATTGTTGGGATATTCTACTGCTAAGATCCCAAAAGCTGCATAAATTTTAAATGAATCCAGGTACAGACTGTACAGACACTGATCAGAAGTTTAGGATACACGTTTGGTCAAAGTTAGCATTTCAAATTGATACAGCAGTTCTAGCACTCCCAGGACACATTCCTTTTCAGGAAGATCTCGGGGTTTTTTTTGTAGTTGAGGTAAAACATCAAAAAAGGGGTATGAAATGAAATAAAATAAAATTATCAAATGACTCATTAAGACAGAACTGGAAAGAAAACTGATGCCATTATGCACCATAAAAGTTCCCACTTAGGCTGGTAGAAGTTTTAATAAAACTGAAATATTTATTCCAAAGTTAACTTATTCAAGTCCTGATGTTTACAGTGTTTAAGTACTGAGCACTATTATGTTTCCATACCTTGTCATAACAGTTTGTCTGTCAGGCCGCACATCTATCAGGATTTTCATAATCTGAGGTTCAAATCCCATATCCAACATCCTGTCAGCCTCATCCAAAACCTGCTCAGAACAAGTTTTAGTTCCTCAGGTAAGGGTTTCAGCAAGACAATACAGAGCAGACCATTTTAATGGTATCAGTTTTAATTGCAGAATCCAATCCATAATGTATTGCAAAATTTGTTCAACTTCTATTTCACCTCTTTGATTTCCTTGAAGCCTTTTCATTTCGAAACATATTTGTGGGCAAACCAAAAAAAAAAAATCCACAGCACCTTTGAGAGCACTTGAAGGAAAAAACAACTGTTTAACAATAATTTGGTTGGTGCCTAAAACTAAGCACAGTATTAAAAGAACAGCAAACAACAAAACCAACCAAATGCAAGGGAGGGCAGAAAAATGCGAAAATAGACACCCCACACTTTCACTTTGCAATTTAAAGGGAAAAAAAAACAAATCTCACTTCTAACTTGATATAGATCTTATACTAGGCCAAAATATCAGTTATCAATTTATTTTCTCATCAGAAGTAGGAAATAAGCCAGACTCTACATTCTGGCTCACACTAGGACACTACAAAACTCAAACCCATTTCATCTTGTAAAGCAAAACAAAACAAAACCAAAGCACAAAAAACCAAAAGAGAACAAGTGAGATGAAGGCCTGAGTAAAATTATTTGGAACTAGTTTATTTTTCTCATATACAAGCATGCTTGTGGCTGTTTTCAGAGTCTTATACGAAGGAAGAAGACTGGCTCCTTTAATTTTAATTTTTCCCCTTTAATTTTCAAATAGTGTTTATATAAATCAAAGTTATACAGCTCACACTTTTACGTACTGACATTTTCTAGTCACTTATGTGGAAGCATAAGACTTTGATGATAATGCCATTCTGTCCCAATTTTGCTGATCCATTCTTTTCAGATGTTTTATTCTAGTCAAGGTTTTTAGTATATTATCTATGTAAATCTCTGAAATTGATATTCAAAGGACTTGCAGAGATTTCATTAACTACTTGGATTCTAATACAGTGGCAGGACTGAAACATCACTAATTTTGTATACAGAGTTGTCTACTATGCCCCTTGCAGCAGCAGCAGTTTTCTAAGTTATTAAGCACACTGATACTTTGCTGGAAAGAAAGAAGAAAAAAAGTATGTATGCATATTAGCCATCTCAGAGTAGTTGAAATTCACTTTCCTTATTTCTGATAGCTACTTAATAAAGAACAAAGACTATAATATACAGAAAATAGATATTAGCACTATATTTTTTCCAAATACCTCTCCTCACAGCCAGGTCCTGATTTATAAGATAGATCTTCCCCCAGCTGACATAATCTTAGGTTTCATGTTATCTACACATATGTACTTGTTAATATTTTTATTTCAGTTCTGCTTCTTGCCAAGAAATTCTAACAAGCCAGTTCTTCATGTAAAAATTATTTTCTTCCCTCTGTTTTAAATAAGTTATCAATAAGTTTTGCACTAGTTTTTGTATTTGAAGAATAAAAAAACTACTCCAATCTACCTTCTATGCCCTAATTCACGTGGGGTTTTTTTCAGTATATACTTTCCCCTAAATGCTTCCCAGTAATTCATGCACAACTCCAATTTCCTTACTTATGCTTTATGAGCATAAGGTCAAAAGAAAAAAAATCACTTAGATTACTGATGAATGAATAGCAATTTATATCAAACACAGCAGAACAGAAAGCAATCTTCAAATGACATGTACTGCAAACAATCAAAAGGCTGTATGTGATGATTTCCCAGTCTTTCTTCTGAAATCATAAAACCCAGCCTATCTTGAATAAATAGGTTCCTAAAAAACTGAATCAAGACTGCAACAACTTGACAGTTCTGTGAGGCAAGAAGACAAATTCTCTGCCTCCAATTCACCTTATGTACGGTCTATATTCAAACCTAATAAACTCTAACAGAGTTTGGGGTTTTGTTTATTTTTTTTAAACAAACAATTGTATTCTGATTTCTGACCTTGGAAGTCATTTGGAAAACAATTATATCAGCAAATAATACTTGTGCACCTTGGGAGCATTCATAAGACTCAGTGTCTTTAAATCAAAACTGTAAAAGAACCTCTTGAATGAACAGCATTCTTCATCAAAGGTGTTAAAGTTGAAATCTAATACCACTCTCTTTTCTCTGAAATAAGGCTGCAAAATGAAACTTTTTTTTTTTGGGGGGGGGGGGGGGCTTAAGATTGATAAATGAAGATATGGAAATGGAAAGCATCTTATATATCTAAAAGTACAAGAAACTATGAGGAAAAAGATATAGTAACATTAAAAAGAGCATTTTGGATGTCCAGCTTTTCAAACAGACCTAAAGAAGCACAGCATTTCCAAAAAGTCTTAGGCATGAGACAACCACTTTGCAAATCACAGTCCTTGCACTGGTTTCAATCTTCTGAAAATATTTAACTTCTAGTGGTACAACAAACAATGTTCTCCTGCTTTACATCATGAGGTTTTTCAATTAAATAGCTTATTTTTAGCTATCAAACTTAATATCATACTACAGTATACCTTGCATATACTGAAACATCCAGTTTTGGTTACATATATATTCTTTGCTTTAGAAAGCAGTGTGTGCTTGTAATATGACTGTACTCCACCTTGGCAGAGAAAGATTACTGATGTTCTTACAGTTCTCAGAAAGAAGGTTCTCAGGCTTTTCTTTCCTCCTTAGTAATTATATGTTACTCTCCTACATGAAACTACTCTCATGTCTCCCAATAATATTCTTTTTTTTTTTCTCCCTAATGATACTATACCACCACGGGCCTTGCCAGTAAGCTCACAACTATTAACTAGAACTGGAGCTAACTTTTCTCAGCATGAGTATTTAACCCTTAGAGGGGAATGGGTGGAGAGAAGGGAGGAAAAGCGGGACACATTGTTAAATGCCACCAATTAAACAGATAACTTGGAAATAATTTGAATACATCTAAGTATTTTACAAAATAGCAATGGATTTAAGCGTCCAGCACAGAAAAAGGCAAGAATTAAATGAAGACATAAGGATTCATAATGATGTTTACATGGCTATTTTCCCTGAGATCAAAAGAAAGTCAGACACGCAAACATTTAAATATCTAACTCTGGTGCTTGCTGCACAAGTTCTAAGAACATGAGTCACTGGTAACCATTACAAGAAAAGGAAAAGAAAACTTCGAAAAGGCATTTCATCCATTAATAACTGATCCTGACAAAACTTGCTTCAAAACATCAAACTTGACAAGAGATAAAAATTTAGCATCTTTTAAATGCTTACTGTACTAGAAGCCTGTTTTATTTTTTTTTAGGGAATATTCCACATCTGCAATGCAATTACGGTACGTACCAATCATCTCTCCAACACCAATCTCAATGTTAAGACCTATCATAAATTTAAGACTTAAAAAGTTCAAAGAAAACTTCATTAAAGCTTAAGTTCACACCAAATCAACCATTACCCAACTGGTACATTATTCAGTCCATATCAGCTACTTGCCAGGTACGTTATGCTCTTCAAATTTATGAAGTTGTTCATTTGAAGATCATTCAGTCTGCCAGGAGTAGCAATAACAATATCCACACCTTTGGTAACCACGTCTATCTGTCCTTTTCGGTCCCCACCACCATATATGCAAATACTGAAAAACAAAGTGTTTTACAGAAGCAGCATATTAAGGTTCAACTAAAGCATTTTCAAATAAATATCACCATTTTGCTTTATTTTACAAAGCATCATCAGGTATTACCAAAAGGAAGGAATACAGTAAGTGTGACTTACAGTATCACAGGAAATAATGGACTTAACACTGAATGATCCTCCCTCAGCAGTTCAGCAATACCTCTCTGCTGAAACTGTAGTGAACGCAATCACAAAGGGGAGGAAGGTGTACGAGTATGTTTTGGGTTGTTCTGAAGATATTCACACCAAAACCAGATGAACATATGAAAGGATGCATGATTTTCTAAACAGTATCATCAAAAGTCAGACATGCTTTTGTTAAAACAATCAATGCACTCAATAAGGTATCGGGCTTACTCACACAAACTCAATGTGCTCTGTAAAACTCATCAGTATTTTTGAGAAGGAAGCAGAATGTACATCTCAGTATTTGATGACTAATTCTGAATGCTATACAAAGCTATCAGAGAGCCCTGAAAGTTAAGTTTTGGAGTACAGTAATGTCTGTTTAACAGCTTAAATGAAGACGTACATTCTCAGAAGGTTTGTGGATGAAACCAAACGGGGGGAAGCAGTCAACACAGTAGAGAGCTGTTATTCAGAAAAGCCACAAAAGGCTGGAGAAATGGGCTGACAGGAATTCCATGAAGATTAACAAAAGCAAAGATGGGGATAGAATTATCCCATGGCTGAGGGCCAACATTCTAGAAGATGGCTTTGCACAAAAAGAGTTGGGTGGGTAAGGAACTGACCATTATCCAACAATGTAATGCCACAGAAAAGAAAGCCAGCTGTGCACTACGGAGAAGGTAGCCAGAAGGTTGAAAGCGCTCTTTATTCTCTTTTATTCAGCACCTGTGAGATGACACCTCAAGCACAACATCCAGTTTTTTTACCCCCTGCCTCTATTACAAGACACATATATTCATACTGGAGCAGGTTCAGCAGGCAGCTACCAAGAAGGTAAAGGAGATGGGGTGGATTACGTGAAGCTGGTAACGAAGCTTGTTCAGCCTGAAGAGGAGGCTTGGAAAGACCTTATTGCTGTCTACAACTAACCTAACAGCAAGGTGCCGAGGAGACAGCCAAACTCTACTCAGCTGTCCACACAGAAAAATAAGAAGCAACAAAGCTACAATGCAGAGAACTCCAACTATGTAAGAAACAGACTCTCACTATGACAGTAGTCAAAACAGGCATTCTAAAAAACTAGGAAAATATGAACTCTGCAATTACTACCTTCACCTCCTCTCTTAGCAAATGCCTTATTTTAGTAGGTGAATTAAACCACAAGTGGTAGGGAAAAAAAAACGAAACTTAAGAAGCAAGATTACCTTTTAATTCCTTTGTATGTGTACTTCAAACATTCTGCCTCTACTTGAAGAGCCAGTTCTCGAGTAGGAGCAAGGACTAACATTCCTGGCCCCCCACGCTGATCTTTGGATCTGCAATAAGAAGCTCTAGAATGTGGGTATAAGGCTAGACAAAATCCATCACACCTGATATTGAATGTTTTCATAGTGTTCTAGACTTTCTCACTGCACTGCGAATGTAATCTATGGTAACCAATTTGGTACTTTTTCCACCAGGTTATAAATCATACAATTATATGAATTTTATTAGCTTTACTAAAAAAATATCATATGAAGGGTAGGGGCAGGGGAAAGTATCCACAGCTAAACAACTCAAGCATATCCTTACATTGGTTGTGAAGTCAAGTGAATGAATCCAGGCATTAAGTATGCTAATGTCTTCCCAGTACCAGTCTGTGCTATACCAATAAGATCAAGTCCTTGAAGTATGATTGGCCATGCCTGGGACTAACATAAAACAACAAATACTTAAATGCGTTTTTCTCTAAAGCTTCAGTTAGAGTCATCAAAATTGAAGACATACCTGAATTGGTGTAGGCTTTTGAAAACCAGCTTTTTTTATATTAGCCATAATATCGGGATAATGCTCAAATACATCTTCAAACTTACAAACAGGATTGGGAATGGAGCGCTTTTCACCTTCTTTTAAGTCATCACAAATTATATTATTATTTTCTTTCCTGTATAGAATTAAAGAAGTGCAATTGCTTTAAAGTCTCATTATCTGAGAAAATAGAGCTAACAAAAAAGACTGCCTTTCTGATTCTTTTTTAATTCCTGAAACAAAAACCTCCAAGTTCAGATTCTTGAATGAGACTTATAACTATTCTAACTTTAAGAAAGCCTTTCTACAAAAACACTTCTCCTGGAGGCATCAATTACCATTCTTTCTTAAGAAAGACTATTGTGAAGTTATATATTGTTATTAACATGAACTGCAGTCCTGTCATATTAGGCTTCAATTATATTCTATTACAAATGAGACAACTGTGTCAAGTTTTTAAACCTAAAGACAAGCCAGAACTCAGAGGAATGGACTGGACTTCTTTGTCAGAACCCTATGTTCTGTCAAAAGCCTTCCTGAAATACTTTCAGAGCAGTTTTCTGGAAGCTCTGTAAAATACAAACAATAGTTTAGAAAAAAGAATGTAGTCAGCAAGACAAGCTCAGAAAAATACCCAAGCAAAACCCAATCCCCAAAACCAAACAACCAAAACCCAAACTGCAACATGCACAGAAAAAGCTACACTAAACACTGAGGTTCCAAGGCTCCCCCCAATTAAGAGGTATTTATTTTCATTCCAGCCCTGTACTCTTCTGAAGATTCTATTCATCAAATAGCTTTACTTCAAGCAGGATGTGAGCTAGGAAAAACATGAGTAATTTTTGTTTTTCTCATGTTTAAAAAAAATACATTTTCTTTTTTCAATTACTGTTTTGTCTTTAAGCAAACAGATTAGATGAAAAAGGAAGAACATTCCTTTATCTCACAAGAAAGTGCTCTTCCTCAATGCATATTCTGAACCTACATAAAAATGTTCTGTTGTGCTTGACTAGCTCTAACAATAACACATACCTATACTTTAAAGAAACAGGCATCAGTTTCATACTTTACTCATTGTGGCAAGGTTTCCCTGATGGGCATGCAAGAGAAAAAAAACCAAAACCAGACACCATGCAAAAAGGAAAGTAATACAAGGTAATGCTTTAAGAATGTTCACCCACTTCATTAGAACTATTGAAAAGTACTGAAACTTATCATTGCCTGAACCGAGTCACTTGGAACAGATGATCTGATTTTCTTGAAAAGTAATCATGTAGATTTCTGGATCAAAATGAATGGATACAGTTAACTGAGGTGTATATTCACCAGGATGTACTTGGAAAGACAAGATAAGACAGATAGAAAAGCAACAGTAACAGAAGCTGAAATTTGTTTTGAAGACAGTATTTGACTAAAATATACAGAGAAGAAAATGGCAGCCAAGAAGTATTCAAGATGTGAACAATCACATTTGGAAGGACCTAAAAAACGGGAACATGCTGTCTCATGAAATGTAAGGAATATCCAAAGGCCATTGAACTGTCTGGTTTATTTTTTCCCCTCTGAAAGTCAACCATATAAAACACTTGTAGAGAAATTTTCCAAGCAACTAATATAATCTCATCTGGTAAATATTGTTTAATTACTAAGAAAAAGTTCCAAGTTATTACAAGACCCTACCATTAATGCTGCTGTCTCAGTAGTTTATCATCCACTTTATGGGCTTTATTCTTTAATATCAATTCCTGCAAAACAGACGATTCCCTATAGAAAAGGTCTTACCGCCACAGCTCCACTTCTTCTTGTGACATAGATGCTGTTCTTGATGATTCTTTATAGAAGTTTTTCTCTATTGGAGGCAAGTCTTAAAGAGTCAGGAAAAGTAAACTTCAGTACATGCAAAAGAACTGCTTGTCTGCATTTCAAGTTCTAAAGTAATTTCTCCTAACACATACTATAATATTTCATAGAATCACAGAATTGTTTGAGTTAGAAGAGACCATTAAGATCACCCAGTTCCAACCCCTTTACATGGGCAGGCACACTTTCCACTAGACCAGGCTGCTCAAATCCCTGTCCAACCTGGCCTTGAACACTGCCAGGGATGGGGCAGCCACAGCTTCTCTGGGCAACTTGTTCCAGTGTAAAGCCATTCCCGCATGTCACAGAATCATAGAATCGTTAGGGTTGGAAAGGACCTTAAGACCATCTAGTTCCACCCCCCCTGCCATAGGCAGGGACACCTCATGCTAAACCATCTCACGCAAGGCTTCGTCCAACCTGGCCTTGAACACTGCCAGGGATGGAGCATTCACAACCCCCCCGGGCAACCCTTTCCAGTGCCTCACCACCCTAACAGGAAAGAATTTCCTCCCTATATCCAATCTAAACTTCCCTCCTTAAGTTTTAACCCATTACCCCTTGTCCTGTCATTACAGTCCTTAATGAAGGATCCCTCCCCAGCATCCTTATAGGCCCCCTTCAGATACTGGAAGGCTGCTATGAGGCCTCCACGCAGCCTTCTCTTCTCCAGGCTGAACAGCCCTAACTTCCTCAGCCTATCTTCATATGGGAGGTGCTCCAGTCCCCTGATCATCGTCGTGGCCCTCCTTTGGACTTGTTCCAACAGTTCCATGTCCTTTTTATGTTGAGGACACCAGAACTGCACACAATACTCCAAGTGAGGTCTCACAAGAGCAGAGTAGAGGGGCAGGATCACCTCCTTCGACCTTCTGGTCATGCACCTCTTGATGCAGCCCAGGATACGGTTGGCTTTCTGGGCTGCAAGCGCACACTGAAGCCAGCTCATGTCCATTTTCTCATCGACCAGCACCCCCAAGTCCTTCCCCACAGGGCTGCTCTGAATCTCTTCTTTGCCCAACCTGTAGCTGTGCCTGGGATTGCTCCAACCCAGGTATAGGACCTTGCACTTGGCATGGTTAAACTTCATGAGGTTGGCATGTGCCCACCTCACAAGTGTGTTGAGGTCCCTCTGGATGGCATTCCTTCCCTCCAGTGTATCAACTGAACCACACAGCTTGGTGTCATCGGCAAACTTGGTGAGGGAGCACTCAATCCCATTGTCCCGGTCAGTGACAAAGATGTTAAACAAGACCGGTCCGAACACTGATCCCTGAGGGACACCACTCGTTACTGGTCTCCAGCCGGACATGGAGCCATTGACCACAACTCTTTGCGTGCAGCCATCCAGCCAGTTCTTTATCCATCGAGTGGTCCATCCATCAAATTGATGTCTCTCCAATTTAGAGACAAGGATGTCGTGTGGGACAGTGTCGAATGCTTTACATAAGTCTAGGTAGATGCCATCAACTGCTCTACCCCTGTCCATCAGTTCTGTAGCCCCATCACAGAAGGCCACCAAATTGGTCAGGCAGGATTTCCCCTTAGTGAAGCCATGCTGGCTGTCACCAAGCACCTTGCTGTTCTTCGTGTGCCTTAGCGTGCCTTCCAGGAGAATCTGCTCCAAGCTTTTGCCAGGCACAGAGGCGAGACTGACTGGTCTGTAATTCCCCGGGTCATCCAATTTCCCCTTCTTGAAAATGGGAGTTATATTTCTCTTCTTCCCGTCATCAGGAACTTCACCTGACTGCCATGATTTTTCAAATATGATGGCCAGTGGCTTAGCAACTTCATTCGCCAGCTACTTCAGGACTCACGGATGGATTTCATCAGGTCCCACGGACTTGTGCATGTTCAGGTTTTTAAGATGGTCTCGAACCAGATCCTCTCCTACAGCAGGCCCAGGGTTTTCATTCTCACAGTCCCTGTGTCTACCTTCCAAGACTTGGGTGGTGTGGTCAGAGCCTTTGCCAGTGAAGACCAAGGCATAGAAGTCATTCAGAATCTCAGCCTTCTCCAAATCCTGTGTAGCTAGTTCTCCCGAGAGCTTCCAGAGGGAGCCTACATTGTCCCTAGTCTGCTTTTTGTTTGCTATGTACCTGTAGAATCCCTTCCTGTCACTATATGCCCTTGTATTTAGAGGTCTCATTTTTTCTGCTGCAGCCACATACCAAACAACACTGTAAAGGGTGAAGTCAAAATACTAATTGAGTAGCAAGAACTACTTGGTTATGTAGGTCCTCCATGACCATGCTGAGAAATGCTGATGCGGTCATTTCATTGCAAATACTTAACTAACTTGGACACTGAAAGATTCCAACATCTCAAAGCAAAAATTAAAACATTTACACATTCAACAGATTTATTACATAAAGACAAGTACTAATACAACGGAAATTTTAAAACTAACCTGCCCACTTCATCGCTTCATATTTAGCTCTGTTTTCTCGAAGATAGGCCCAGTTAATCACTGATTGCGTTGGGTTATCTTTAGGCTTGATAGTGTCCAAGGTTTTTCCTATTGTGAAAAAGCTGCTGTTTGATGGAATCTGTTGCAGGGTAAGTGAGAAACCCCCCTCAAAACAAACACTTTATTTTCTTTTTTTTATTGTATGGCCTCTCAAGTAATTTTTAATAGACATGAAGCATTTAAATAGAAAATTCTTTCTTAGATCTTAGTCTGAAACATCAATAAAATCTGTACAAATGCAGTTCTAATAAAAAAAAAGAAAAAAGAAGCATTTCAACATCTTCAGCTACTTAAAAAAGAGTGGCAACAGGTTCTGAAATGCTGCTCCTCCAGCTATAAGGCTTGTTGTACTGCAGGCTTTTGAAAAACTTGCGAACCAGTAGATGATATGCAGACAGAAAGCTTTATTTTTAACAGCTACAAAAAGTAAGGTTTACTTCTAAAGTATCCAATGACACCACAATGAAGTCCTGGTGCAGTTACACTCTATACTTCTTTTTTGACGAGATTAACACTTCACAAAGGTTTTACACTGAAGATATAAATGGCAACACAATTATGTATTGATGTAAAAGCAGGAAACACATGGAAAACACAGTAACCCATACTAAGGAAACTTTATTCCTAGCCTCTTGAAACATTCACCTTCTGTGGCACTTTTAAACTCAAAACTCAGAACTACCCCATTCCTTATTCTAACACTGGAACACAACTCTCAGATCCCTTCTTCCTCATCAGTGCCTCAGATCAACAGCCATGGATAGTTTGCCTGTACAAAAAGTCATTGGGAGCACACAGACAAATACCAGTAAGTAGCATCTCAACATACAATCATTACTTATAAATCCACATAACTATAGACAATAAAGCCTAGTAAAGAGAGGCATGATGTGCAAGACCAAACCTTAAATGCCAACCTGCCATGAAAGCAGTAAAAAGTCAGCATTGCCCATGCTATAAACAGTATGTTTGCCTTATACATTCATAAAAACTTACAGGGCTTTAATACTGCACAGATACTACTTTAAAACTTAAACTAGAGCAAATGCTTGTATTCTGGAGAACCAGACTGATAATGCAAGATACCAAGTAGTCTAACATTCTGCATTCATTTAAATTGTTGAAAACACACAGCAACTCATTTTCACAGAAGTCTGGCCATTTGAAAGGGGAAACTTTTCACAACCAAGAAAGGAGGATGTCTACATATTTCTGTTTTAAGCAGGTATGCCACTGTCCAAAAACAAGGTGAAAGTTAATTCAGTTCAGTAGTATATTAATAATATAAAAGTACTCCATCAAACTACCAAATGCATGGAAAGACAATCCACAGTATTTTTTAAACAAACAACCCCCGAACAATAACATAAAAACCCCAAATCCCAAACACACAAATCCCTAAACAAATTCCTTACCTTTCTCACTCCCACCTCTACTGTAGTTTTGTCCAGATCTTGTAACAGCATCATCAATCAACATCTTGGCTTTGTTTTGTACAGCAACACTGCCAAAAATCTTTACTTCAGCTTCATAGGCTCCCTTTATCACCTATGTTCATAAAACCTTACTGAGTTTTTTTAACACCACAATGACAAACTTTATATAGAAATATATACTTAAAACAGTCTTAGATTTTTTTTTCCTGAATTTCAACTTCTGAGGGAATTAAAGTGCCTTTTCCTTTCTAAAAAGGTAATAAGTGCATACTTAGGGGAAGAGTATCAGTAAGCTTCTCAAGTCAAGCTACACCCTCAATTACACTTCATTTTCACCAATTCTCGTAAAACAGTAGAATTATTACAGCTATTGCAGCACACTTCAAGTTGCTGCATTAACTGATTTACACAAAAGCAAAACCAATCACGTTCACAACATAGTCCAGGCCTTAATGACACACAGAACATGGTACCTTTATCCTGGAACCTGAAGAATCCTCAAGCTCTCTTATTTTACTTCCACCCCGACCTGTAATAAAGATACACTGTTAAGTGTTACAGAGATTCAGGCCAAACTGCCAGAAACTACGCATGGTAAATGCTTAGCATTTTGGTTGTGACCAAACCCCGAGACCTTCACAGGAGTACCTGCATTCATAAGTAAAACAACCTGTGACATCAAACTGCTGGAAATGCAGGTAACTTATGTGTCAATTAGCCAAATACAAGGTGCATGGGGGTTGTGTGTGAAAGCACCTCAGATAGAGCAGCAAAATCACCTCAAGAGAGAACCGTTCTTCCTCCAGACGAGAGGGGCTTACACTGCTGGCTATGAGAAGCAGACACCAAGCCAACAACTTCAAGGAGGAAAAACTCAGCTACCCTGGCGAGTGGGAGAGCTCCACTCCTCCGTGCAGAAGGCAGCAGTGCACCTCCTCAGGATGCAGAGGGACGGGCAGGGGCCCACAAGAACGAACCTCTCGGCGGCCGGCTCCTCTCCTCCTCCCCCACCCGCTTACCTCAGCAGGCCAAGCGCCCGAGGTGTGGGTGTGCGGCCATTATTACCTATGAGAGCTCCGACCAGGGCGCTGTCGAGGTGGAAGCAAAGGGGCTCCGCGGCGTCACCATGCTGGCTGGCGGTAGCTCGGGACCGCCACTGCCGCGCCGCCTTCCCTGCGCCAAGGGGACTCTCAGCGCCTCGAGGCTCCCACTCCTCTCCGAGGCCGGGCACTGCCGCCACTGCCGCCGCCGCCGCATCCTCCCGCCACCACTCAGCGCTCCTTCGTCCGCCGCCGCCCGCTATGGAGGCGTGACTCTGCGAAGGGGTAGGCGGCGGCTGGCGCAGGCACCCAGGAGGAGATGGCGGCTGACCCGTACCGACGTCCTCATCGCTGCCCGTGTCCCAGTCAGACATGCCAACAGCCCTACTAGCCGCCGCTGACCATATGCGAAACCTTACCGCGCTGTAGGCTAGGAGCGAGCTGACTGGCCAGGACGGGCAGCTCTCTAGCAGTGATTGGCTGGCTCGGAGAGGGGAGAACCTATGACCGTCCCTGCTGAGTCCGGGGCTGAGCTCTCGCGGGCTCCGCGCTCAGAGCTGCAGGGTCCTAAGTCCTGATTTCTCACTCCCTTACTTCTCCTGCGCCGGCTTGGGCTGCACTGAGGAGGGGGAGGCAGCGGTGTTTTAGGAAGGGAGGGAAAGAAGTCGGTCCTGAACGTGTGGGAAGGCCCAAGTCTGTAGGGTGCAGGGGGAGAAGGCAGGCAGCCTCAAAGGAGGCTGGGGAGGGAGGGTGGCACCGGTTTTGCTAGGTGTCTAGGCTAATGTCATGCTGATACATTGCAGCCTGAATTTTTTAGGGAAGTCATATTTAAACTCAAATTAAGGTTTAATGATGCTTTAATGAAGATATCGGTTTGACCGAAGGTACTAAAACTAATATTGCAAACAGAATCACAGAAGGGCGGAGGTTGAAGGGACCTCTGGAGGTCATCTTGTCCAGCCCCCTGCTCAAGCAGGGACACCAAGAGCTGGTTGTCCAGGACTGTACAGGTAGCTTACAAGTATCTCCAAGGATGGAGACTCCACAAACTCGCTGGGCAACCTGTGCCACTGCTCGCCCAGGGTCACAGTGAAAAAATAATAATAATGTAAAGAAAAAGCTTCAGTTACACTGAATGTCTGCTTAGCAAGGGCTTGAAATTTTCCTTTTAGGCATGGTACAGAGCTGAATGGTGAACACTGATGTATGTGTCTTTATGGGTGACATGACTACCTGTGCCTGGCTGTTGTGACCTGCAGGGTAACTCAAAAAGGAAAAACTTGGCACTGCTGCCTTCTGACACTTCCCTGCTATGTCTATGTACACATGAAGCAAGATTGCCTGTTTTAATAGAAGAAGAGCCTGCATACATGTTTGACTTTTTTCCTGTCCTGTGTTTATTCTTAGGCAGAGCTTGGTAGTGTTTACATAGCCCATGGGTACCAATGGCGGACATGGAAAATCTGCCTTTCTGGAGACTGCATCTTCAAATTTCAAGATTTCACTCATCACAGACGTAGGGGGTCGTCTGTGCATGGAAATTATGCTCTGTTTTGAAGCCTCCACAGAGACAGTGACTTCACCACAAGAACAGGTGCTATAGATTTAATACATTCAAATGGTAAAGCTTATCTTCAGCAGGACTGCAGGAAGAGCAAAGTGAGGAAAGAAGGCTGTAGGTATGGTGCAGTATCATTCTAGAGCAACTTCCATGATTCAACACAGAGGAAAGGGCTTTAACTAGGCCTCAAGTTAAACTGAAGTAGCAGATCAGCCTTCCCTGAGGAATCCTGCTCTTTGCACAGGCCCCTGATTGCTGATCCCGAATCAATTACTGTTTATCTAACAGGGAAGGTAATAATAACTTCCAAACTCATTTTAATAAAGGTGCTGAAACATGAAGTAAACTCTGCTGTAAAGGGTAACCGGAAACTGAACCTATCAGACTGGTTTGTGTGCATTTTATTCTAGCTAAATTCCAGTTTGGTCCGTTCAATAAAAATACAAAATTTCAAAAGGAAAACAGCAAGCAAGTTTAAATTCTTGCCTGGTACATGCTAACCCCACACAATCTTTTATGTAAGGAAAAAAACCCAGTAAGCATAGTACTTTTAAAATCATTTTTATTAACAACAATATGGATTCAACGTTGTCAAGAAGTTACAATTAACATTGTAATGTACTGGCTAATGTTGCAGTGTCAGTGGAAGCAGCCTTCATCATTTCTTAAGCCTCTTATGAAACTGTCTTTTTATCTTTCAAAGAAGTAAAAAATGCTTCCAATAGCAGATGATACTGGATATGTCTGGAATTGTCCTATATGTAGCCACAGCTAAATGAACGGCCACATTTGCACCCAGATGAATGGACAGGAAAATATTACATGCTTCCACTGACGCTGCAGGGGACAGTTCTTATTTTAAAAACCAATTAACCTTTGTAGACAGTGACAGCACTTTGTGTGATGTTGTAATCCATTTTAAGTCGATTAACACACTTGAAAAAAAATGTGAAGCAGAAATATCTGGGGCAAATTCTTTTCTGACCTGTATTTCATCCAAACCTAATGAATCCAAAAGGATTGCATGATATATGAGTCAGGATAAAAGTTGGCCCAGAGAGGCAAGTTCATTCCTGTTATAGGTGGGTTCAGTTCCTTTAAGCTCACTGGAACTGAGCCTGATTATCCCAATGGAGGCTGAACTTCACCCAGTTGGGCAGTGAATTCATTGAAGTCAGTGAAGCCATCCAAGGATGAATTTAGCATCAGGTGGTTAAACTCTTTTTTCATTCCTTTGCTGTTATATATTCTTTTCCTGCTTACTCCTTTCTTTCTGATTATTCTCCTTTTCTCTGTACTTTTTAAAAATGTCCCTTCTCTTCATCCCTTTTTACATCAGTACTTTGTGCGTTATTTTTTATATAGTCAATGTGACATGGGTAAATTCAGCTAAGTATTAGTTTCCTCAGGAAATAAATGGAACATTACCATTTTCACTTTAAACAGGTGCCCAACAAACTAAGGATTTGAACCTGAGCTCCCAATTCAAGAAAAAATATTTAATTCCATAGAATGAAGCATTCTGTAGAATTTTTGCTTGAGTAAGGATTGCAGGTCCCAATCCAGAAATACTATTGTACACCAGATGTTCTACTATGCATCAGCAATTTGATATCATTTGACCTATCACAGAAGAGCAGGTGAATTACTCATCACCATACTGTAATGAGAGCAAGTCTCTCTAAGTAGGATTATCTCAAAAATATATGGGACAACCATGGGCACTGTGAATAAAAGTGTATGATCTTTGCAATCCTGAACCCTAGGCTAAAACACCATATTCATATTTAAATAAAAAGTATAGATCATATAAGCCAGGAGCAAATACAATTTTTTTAACAAGTAATAAACATCAAAACTATTCTTTTCTTTTCTCTCTTTAATCAGGTGCTAGAAACGTGCTGATCAGAAAACAGTTGCTTGGATAAGGCTTAATTCCTGAAGCTCTTACGTAAGTTCAGATTCTGTCTTCAACAATCCTCAAATGGATTGTAATCAGAAAAAAATTTGTCCTTTGTCCCTGCTCATGAACAATTCCTATTAGCTGTCCTGAGCTGGACTTTAAGGAGCTCAGTACAAGACTTGAAAAGCCACACAAGTCCTTCTTTTGTGAAACCAATGAATGACTGTCACTCATGACACTGTCTTTTAAAGCGAAAGCATAGAAACAGGAAACTCCTCATGAGGAAATATGAGCAAAGCTTATAAAAATCCAAACAAACAATTCTTCCTCTCCAGAACTTGATATATTCACTCTATTTTCTATCAGTATTATGTTAAAAAATTCCTACATGATAAGACTTTCAGCTACAAAAATAATAATGGTGAGCATAAAAGAAAAAAAAATAGGATTTTAAACCATAATTTGAAAAGATATGATCTTCTGGATTTATTAGTACTTTGTAAAGACATTAACATTTTTCATACATAATTTATAGAACTCATTCTTTTGTGCACAAAATTGTATTAAATAAATTAACTTAAAGTTAGAAGGACTCAAGCATGTCATTTAAGGCAAAAATACCAAGTTTCTGTGAGATAAATTATCAGCAAAACCAAGGCCCTGTTTCTGTGCAGAATTGGTACAGGCAGGGCCAATGCTCAGTTCTCTCATTGACGCCTTCTGGGTCAATGGGGCTGCAAGCATCTGCTCACGCAGATGAAGGTGGAAGAGTGGTGTCCAACTCATGATGCCTTGATTTTTCAATCTTATCAAGGAGGGGAAGGGAGTTTCAATACTGACACACAGTTGCCACGTGCCCCACCTCTTAAGTGATCCTAAGTGCAGGTTTATGCTTAAGTCAGTAGGAGGCTCCATATGAAAGGTGACCAAGGCACCATAAAGAGTTAGGAAAAATAACAAAAAGCCTAAAACCCCCAACCTTGTAAGTTTTAAAATTTTGGATAGTACTCTAAACTTATAGATCTGTCTGGGTAAACTGCAGACATTCAAATAAGTTAATAGTTAAATGAACTGAGATGTGGAAAACACCCACTATTTATCCTCACAAAGTTACTGTTGTAATCACACTTTAGTATGTCAGACTGCACATAAAAGAAAACAGGAAAGGCTGAATGTGGTAAGTCATATGGCAAATCAGTGGTGAGGAAATTGTGCTTCAAGGTGTCTTTCAGGATTTAACAGCTGAAGTTTGCTCCAGCGTGAGCCATGGAACACAGTGTACTATCCGTGGACCCCGTATAATGACACAATATATACACTCTACAGTTTGCATGTACTTTCACATAATAAGGTTGTCATGTAACATCCAGGAATACTTCTGTAAAGGAGATATGGAAGCAGAAATTACAATGGTTTTATAGTAAACAGATCAAGTCCTTCACAATACAATCTACAGCATTTAGCCATGGTTAAGACTGGAGTGATGTTTTTGATGTACATAGTAAGTTCCCAGCAGGTCTGGGCCTTGAGAAAACACCGCCCTGAGTGAGCTGGCACTGGCACCCCCAATACATTCGGTGTTCCTGCTGCTAGAGGGAAGCTGAGCCCAAGTTGGGTTGTCTACAAGCTTGTGGTGCAGGTGGGTTATAGAGCTGGGGGAAGGCAAAGCACAGAAACTTCGTTCAGCTGGGAAGACCAAAAGCCTGTTTAGGCTCTGAAGGGGTTCTCCCAGTGGCGAAGCCTTACTGGGGATGTGCAGATAGGCACTAATATTGCTCCTGCATCTCAGCAGAAGGGAACTGTAGGTTAGGTTAAGAAAAAAAGAGGATGTATCAAGCAGGAATGCTTGCTCTGATGTAGACTTTGAATTTAAAACTCAGGTATTAAGAGGAAGCAGTATGAAGGTCCTTTCTTGGAAAGTTCACAAGAAATGACTGCACTTGGGACACAGTGTTAAACTGCGAGTGTGCCCACTTTCCTCTCCCACCTCCTCTTTTTTTTTAAAAAAAAGCAAACAAACAGAAAAAAAACCTTGCTTTTATTTTTTTTTGTTTGTTTGTTTTTTTGTTTTTTTTTTTGTTTTTTTTTTTAAATAACACTCAATATCTGTGATTGATAAGCTGGATTTAAAATGCATGTATCTTTTTGCCTCTTTACCTTCCTTTTCTGGGATCGTTTCTCTTCCTGCCCTTCTCTCTTCCCAGTTCTGTCCTATTTACTTTTACTCTGTATTTCAGTTCCTCATTTTCCCTCCTTTCCCAGGCTTATCAAGTGCTGTCATGGTATCAGGTTGGGGCTGCAAGGAAAATTGTCAAAATTTTCACACAAGAAAATGCAGCTTCTACAATAAAGGCAGCACGTGCTTCATTCCCTCACCTACTGCTGCCAAAATTCACAAGCTAGCTTCTTAATGAGACAGGAAGAATGAGAGATTCCCCATAATTTTTAGCGCAGTCACACATGTTATCCCCTTCTAAGGCCAGCCCCAACCCTTAAAATACAAACTTTTCGTAGCAAAAGAATGTTCTTATTATAAAAAACTCAACATGACAGTGGTGTGTCAGGTTCTTTTGCCAAAGAACTAAATCGCCAAAAAACGGATGGATATTAACATACTTAACATTTTCAGAGTTAAAAATAACTGGTTACTGACAAGCTAATGGGTGTATCTTGCAACTGGCAGCCATTTCTGATCCCATATTACTGGCTTCCTTGGTACCTTGCTAGCAGCTGTAGATAATTTTTGTTGTTGTAAACATAAACTATCATCTAATCAGGACATTATATATATATATATATTTAATTCGTTCAGAAGCAAAGTGCTTTAAACCTTACAATATTTACTTCTGCCCTGTAAAAACAGCGCTAGGTCTAAATGCTCGAATTTTGGTTTTTGATACATCCTGCAGCATTAGCTTTGTAGGCAACTCATTATTTAACCTACGGTACTACATGAAAGGCTGCTGTACTGTAGGTGTAAATCTGAATCTTAGCCATCACTTAAACATGCATTTACATGCAACTAGGAGATATGGGCTCATTCAACTGTTTTGCAGATTCATCCTGATTTTTGTGATTTTATATTATTAAAAAGGCTTTCAAAACAGTTCATGCTATGATATGTATGACTAGAGGAATGACCCAGCCAATGAAGAAAGCCCGCAAGCTGTTATTTAAGTTTGACATGGAGCAGATTGAGTGCTTCTGTACCGTCCCCTGGCTTGTAGATGCTTTGAGATGATCTTGATATTCCAGTCCTTAGAGAGTCAGCAGAGAGAGTTGTTTCCACTAATGGGCGCGAGATGGCTTCAGTAGTCTCTGTTCCTGCCTCTGTCTCCAACTCTTCATCAGTTATAAATAATTTTGACTCCCTCCATTTGGAGTATACATCTTGGCTACCTCTGGACCCACTGGAGTCACTGCCAGCCATCTGTACATTCAGTTCTTCTGTTGATTGTATAAGGTTTTGTACAGATAAAGATTTTCCTAAATCCATTTGCACCACAGGTTTAACTGAGAGCAAAGGCTCCCCTTCTGTATCCAGACTTTTTCTCCATGTGAGATCCTTCGTCGCACTGGGCTGTGCAACTTGTCCGTTATCCTTTGATGCAACAAGGCAAGCGGTGACATCGGAAATATTTTCCTGTGTGGTTACAGGAATAATATGAACGGGCTCAGGCCTATTGATATGCTTCATTGATGAGAAAGGTGGTATTTGTAATGTTGTTGGAGTTGCTGGCTTAGTTGCCTGGTTTATTTGGTTTGATGTATTATTAACTGTTGCGGGTCCATCGTTTGGCACTTGCGTTGCTTGACTATGCATAGCTGGACTGAAAGCATAGTAAGCCTGAGTGCTAAATTCATTTGGTGTCAGTATAAGCTGCAGGCCACGAGGAAGATTGGCACTAGCTGATCTGGATACACATCCACTAATTTGTGCAGAATTGGACAAATCTTTGCTGTCCGATGGACTCTGGTAATCAGAAGTCTGCTCACACTCAAAAGCTGGCATTTGAAATGAAGCCAAAGTGAGTGCAGATGCAGATCCTTTTCTCAAAACTTGTTGATAAATATCTAATAGACAGTCCAGTTTTGACTCAATGGATTGTACCTACAGGAGGAGAGGAAAAGGTTAACATCAATGCCAAATACTAATTTAAAATGTTTTCAACCCAAGCAAAGGGAAAATGTAACTGCTGAAGAGAAAAATGGAAAAAGCTTGGTATATTCTGTTGAGACTTGGAAAAAGAATGTCGAAAACCATGTAAATGTTTCATAAGCAAGCTGATAAAAGGGGGAAAAAATGTAATCTGTGATTTTTCCTTACTTTTTTTGTATATGGAAGATAGTTATGGTAATGCTAGTAATACCAATTTTATTTCAACATGTAAATGAAGCAGGTATTAGAATAGAACCCAACCAAACCCACTCAGCCTTTGAAACTGGCAATAAATTAGACAAAAGGCATGAGCAATAGAGCAAGACAAAGTGACACAGATAATTACTTTACCTGTTTCTCCACCTTGACTACACGTCCTAACATACTGAGGTCATCAGTTGTCTCATTCTCTGCAGGATTCTTTTCTCTGCTTCTTTTATCTGCTGTGATTTGTCCTTTCCCAAGAATTTGGTCAACACTGTAAGAGAAATCAAAAGCTGCTGTGATTGCTGAAAACAATGATGATTTTGAAGTGTTTGCTGTATCTGTATATTAAAAATTAAAATCACAGTACTTCAGAGAAGCACCTGAGAAAAAGACAATTTTATTAATTAAGAAGAAAAAAGAAGGCATTTGAGACTGTGTGTCTTTTCTGTTGACACTAACTAGCGGCCAGAAGTTAGCCATCATCTGGGACACTCAGAGCTAGACTTGCTAAGAGGGGGAGAGAGGAGGCAGACTCCCCAGCAGCCTGATATTGTGGAGGATCAGACATACCAGTGCCACCTTCAGCAATCCCATCCTAACAACAGCATCAAGTCCTGGGAAAGTTTTCAGTTTGAAGCAGAAGACTCAGCCCTAATGCTGGTAACGATACACATGATGGAAAGTTGTGTTTTGTTTTCAAATTATTATTGCAGGGAATTTTGAACATAAAAACTACATACATGCTGCACTACCAGCAGTTCACAATTTCTTTTATGTGAAAAGAGAAAGTCTTTCTTTTGTCAGCCTAATGACTAAATTCCTTGGTTATGACTGGACTTTACAGGTAAAGGATTACCTTTTCTGTTGTTGAGACTTCCATGTTCTGGCGACAATTTAGATACATGTTTTTTTGCTTGCTTTTACCCACAATGTAGTTTCTGGCTCATCTGCGCTCACAGAGAGGTTGGGCTGAAGCATGGATGGCAATTTTTACCCAAATGTAACACAGAAATGTTAAAGATTACCAATATTCATTATGTTGTGAATGGCATAACGTAAGATGCTTATGCAGAGCAGAAATGATTCTTTCCTTACCGAGACTGAAGACTCTTAATCCTGCATAACATGTCTAGATGACCTGCTGAATACTGTTCAATGACATCTTTGACATCATATGGACGAAGTGTTTCCTTAAACTTCCTCTTTGCAACATGAAATTTCATAATTCTGCAGGGAAAAAACATTTCACAGACTAATCTTCAGCTGTTGTGAAACAATACATTATGTTCCAGTGATAAAATTTGACAGCTAATTTTTAAGTGGAAGATATTTCAAACAGCTTCTGCAAGTGAACTTTTCCTTTCACACAAGATTTTAATAAGTACAAATGTGTTGTAGCTATTCCTTTGAATTGTTATTTAAGACGCAATGAGTAACACTATTTTAAAGAGTGCAGAGCAGTGCAGCATTTGGTTTATCAGTACACACCTATCTGTCATTTTTTATGGTAGGTGCCTGTTATGAAAGGTGCTGAAGAGCAGGCTTAAGTTAAAACTGGGCTTAGTCCAACTGACTTGAATGGGATACTCTGTAAATTATGTTTGTGCTTAAGCTACTTCTGTCCTTATTAGAAGATTTCTTTAACAAATCAATTACACAAAAAGAAATAATAATCATCTTCTGGTGTGCATTTTAAGTTTTTTAATTTCTGTTTTGTAAAAAAAATAAAATAAAATAATTATGTACTCGATTTTTCATCAATTTTTATTTTTAGTTAACATTCAGGTCCAAGTAATTGTTTAATCTTGATGACTTAAGTCATCAAAAAAGATTAAAACTTCAAACTTTGCAGGCTAAAGAGAAGTTTCATGTTTGTTCCATATTGAAATCTATGGGAATTATTGTTTAATTAGATGTTTGACCCATATTGAAGTCTATGGGAATTAATGTTTAATTAGCACTGTAATTTTTTTTTCGTTGAATTTAATGCAGAATAGTAAGCATCAGGTAAAAGCAAATATTCAAAATTGGTGAATGGCATATATTTTATGTGAGACTTGCACAAGTTTCTCTGATGCTTATGTGAATGTGATGTCCATTGAGTAGCTTCTTTTAGAATGAAACACTTGATATTAAATAGCAAACTTTAAATAACAGAAGTGATAAATTTTGAAAGTAAATGACAGTTATTTTTCATGTCAGCTGGTAAAACCTGCAATTCTCCTTGGTTTACCTGAGAACTGCAGAAGAGACAACTGTATAAGAACTGGAAGAGAAGCCAAGGGATCAGGTATGTTGCCTATTCTGGTCAGTGTTATAGAATCATAGAATCATAGAGCTTATGAATTCCCATTAGGGCCAAACTGCTGATATTTGCTATCTATTGCAATTAAAAGGCAGACACAGTAAATTGGTAACCTATTCCAAATGCCAATATTTCATGCAAATATATTCTCTCCGTGTTTAGTATGATACATATTTAGCAGCTGTAAGACAATGAATTATAATAAAACCCAAAGCCTGGCTCTCACTCTGTGATAAAAATAGATGTGTTAGTGGAATTTAGGAAAACCATACTTTGTATAGGTAGGACAGACATTATGATAATAGGTATGTAGAGTCAGATTAATAGTGTATACAGATCCTCTACTGATTTCTGTATCATACATAAATGTTCTTCCAGATAGTATCAGCCTTTTCCCACAGTGCTTAGGCTATTGGTATTTCCCGTTCTGGTAACTACTAGTTAAAAATGAGATTGCTTGTCACTGGTATAGAACTTGAACTATGATTCTGATAATAGAAATTAAAAATGCAAAATGCCTGTTAGGAGTAGTCCATCACCTTGACAGTTCAGGATTGATCTCCATACAGTTTTAAATATGTCAGATGATGCACTTTACTCTTTTACATGTCAGCCAGTTCTACAGACTAATGGCTTTTGGCATCTTTAGTAATCTGAAGGCCTCTAAAGCTGGAATGCAGATTTTTTTTCTTTTATCTGCCAAATGGTGCCAAGGTGTTCTGTTCATAATAGTCTGACAGCACACACAAGTCTCCTGAATATAGTTCTTTATTCAGGTTACAAAGAATAAATGATGTAGCTGACATACAAGAAAGTTTCACTCTTTTGTTATTATTCTCCCTGTTTTGGCGGTCACAAGTTTTTACTTCATGCTCTTGATGAAGTAAAAATATGAAACTCTACTAGAAAAGCAGAGCCAGAGAATTAATAGTGTAATTGAAGACAACTGAATTTACCACAACTGGATGATTTTACAAGAGAACAAACAGAAGACTAATTTTTATTAACAGCCATAGAAACTTCTTAATCAGTGTGCACACAAGTCTTCATTGCTGCTTTCAATTTCAGCTTTGTAACAGTTTTTTTTGCTTATCAAGGCAGTTTGCTCATGATGTTCACAAGTAAAAGGCAGGATCGACAGCATCACGGCTGTATCAGTGAGGTGTAATTGCACTAATTCTGGTTCAGATATTAGCTCATGTCATGCCATCTTAATTAACTTCAGCAGAGTTTGGAACAGACCCATACTACTTCTTTTTACTTCAAATATGCAAAATTTTACATAAACTGCAACAAACCTGAAGGGTTATAAAAGACTGGCATTTTGAAAGCCTGCAAGTTAATTGAGAAACAGAAAACCTGAATTCTTTCAGTGATAGAGCCTAGCAACTCCTTTCCAGTTCTTAAATTTGGTTGATTCACCATAGTTACTGTCAATTTTAAAAACTCAATTTGCTTTCTGTATCTTGAAATAATATAATGGAACAAAAAAAACCCTTTGTACTTCCTGCATTTGTGCTTCTAGAATAAAAAATTGCCTATTCTGATGTGTTCCTCTGTGATAAAAACGAAGGGTTCACTTATGAGGGCACATGTGGGTGCGAAAAAGGGAAAATGTTATTCGTATCCCAAGTTTTTGAAGCCCGTAAGATGCGCGGGAGGAACAGGGCAAACTACAGCTCGGTCTGTCTGTTGTAATTATACCACTAGGGGGCAAACAAGACTCATCATAAACAGAACCGAGTCGCCACCGGCAATACTGGACTGCCAGTACTGACCAAACGGCAGCAATTGAAAGTAAGAATTAACCCAAAAGAACACAACCATATAGTCCCCAGGGCTTTTAAAACCATTATTTGTGTGCCATGTAGCGAGGTGGTATTTTATAACTCAAATCTAATGTGATAGATGATACATGACTGTAAACCTACCCAAGTCACAAGCATGACAATTTTCTGGTGAGAATTAGACATAAAAAGTAGCCTATTTCAGTGATGCACCCAGAGGAGAGCAAAAGAAGAGTCTTGTGTTGAAGCAGACAAATATATCAAAGTCTTTTGTCTATTGTTAAGGTCTAAACCACAGGACGCACTAATCTTCACTTGCCCTGAAATTTGGAGAAAATTACATGTCCTATACCAAGTTTTGTCCTATTGACCCTAGCAGCCAAAAGCAGCATTCATTTAATTTATCTGTTGCCAAATACAGGATCAATGCTGATCTAGAATGATGGTGTTTTCTGAACATGTAGGTTGTGTATCTTTTAATTTTTTTTTTCATTTTAATTTTCATTCACATTGCCCCTTCCAGTATTAAAAGCTATTTTGCTTGTCAGTAGCGCACTTTACTGAGACGAGCACTGAGACAGAAAATCTCCTATCCTCTGTGCAGCTCTGTTGCACTCATGTTATTTTTTTGTGTGTTTAAGTCTTGTCACTATCTCAGGAATGAACTATCTTCATTCTACTGGGATTCAGGTAAACTCATACATGGTTACCGTCTTGAAGATTAAAAGATAGGGAGGTTGTTTACCCATAGCAGGATGAGGTGACCACAGGTTCTTTGAGCACTTAGTACATCAGGAAAGCAGGTGCACACAGATTTAGCTTTGCTGGTGCCTCTATCTCTCCTTACCTTGCCAAATAACCCTTCTTCCTCGTAAACTGCAATGTGCAGAAGCGATCAGGATCCAATATAGAAAGGCCAACAGACTGAAGTGCTTGAGAGACAGTTCCACTATATGTAGGGTGAATGGGTCAAAACTGCCTCCTCTTTCTGCTCTTTACCTACATTAACCCATCCCCTAACAGCCAGGGACATTTTCTCCCAAACACAGTGCTGTTATAGCCAACACACATCTAAGAGCCTTGCCTAGACTCTGAGGACTATCTGGGCAGAAGATATAAAATGTGTTGGGATTTAAAAGAAATAGAGGATTCTGAAACACTGCCATTGAACAAATTCATAATGGCTGCTAAACATGCATTTTATAAGTCTAGCAGAAACTGCCATTGCAGTTATTTCCTATTGAATATTTATTTATGCTTCTCAAATCTGATTTTATATTCATAAATAGTAAAATAATTCTATCCTTTCCATTGTGGAGAGTATTACAAAATTTAGCACCTCTTGCTATGAAAAAATGATCAGAGATATTGCAATATATGGAAACAAGGTATCCTCATCTTCTTTTTAGTCTCTCTTATATGTATTCATCATTGTGAGCTAGTAAAGCTGGAAAATGCAATGTTTTTTGTTATTCTGAAGGAAATCTGCAGGATATTAGTGACTTTTTGTTCCCAACAAGACTAGGGCTGAGTAGTGTTACAAAACACACTGGCAGAAAGGCTCAGACTACCCTTAGCAACAACTGTTTTGTGCACTGCTCTCATCCCAGCTAGAGGCTGCAGAGGAGTGGGACTGATCCTGGCCTGGCCTAAGGCATGCTGTGGAGCACACCACATTTCACCACATATTACCTATCTGCTCCCTGCTCACCCAACATTATGCAAATGTATTGAGTAGCTTTTCCTTACTTTTTCTACTGCCTCAGTTGATCTTTCCTGACAGAGTTTGTAGCAAGGAAGGGGCAGCACAAGAGATGGACTGTGGAAGGTAGCATGTGCGGGTGTTCAGAAGAGGCTAGTAGCTTGACACGTTGTTACTGGACAGGTCTGCCTGATGGGTCTTCAGTAGGACTGGCTGGGGATCCTATTTTTGGAATGGGCCAATATGTTAAGAACTTTTTCAGGGAATAGCTGTTTTCTCCATCTCCTGTATGGACTATTTAAAAGTGAAAGTTTGAGGGTTTGTTTAAAATCAAGTATTTTTGAAGAATAAATTAATCCTGGGAAAAATGTAAGTGAGCAAGGTCAAAACTGAAGCAGTACACTTTGAAATTACAAAAATGCAAAAACAGAAACAAAACTGTTTTTGTCTTTTACTACTTCACTGTTGCCCAACCTGAGAGTAAGAAGCATATTCTAGGCTCCTTTCACTGAAAAATACCCCAGTTCTTTCTTATTCCAAAACTGAGGGACGCCCTACCTCTGTAAACTCATAGGCATTAATTAATTTTGCTCATTTTTTTTTTTCCCCCAAAATAAAAGGACCATTTGTATCATTGTAAACCAATTTATACTTGGCTCCAAGCAGGAAAAAATAATGACTCTCCCTTATTGCAGTTTTTAAGATGATATAGCCAGAATGGATGTTAATGGTGCATGTGCTTATATCTGGGGTCTTTTCATAGTGTCTCATGAAGTTATGCAAGTACCTTCTGTCTTCATCTGCCTCTGTATAGAGCATGAAAGGAAAAACAGCTTCTACCCTCCCCCATGGCCTTTGCAATTCAAAGCCGTTGCTAAAAACAAACTTCAAAATGAGGCACAAAGTTTCCACATAAGCAGATGTTATCATCTTGAAATTCTACAGTTACTATATAGTGTCTCAGATCCTTCTTCAGATGTTTGCATAGATCCCAGTGTAGTCAGGTAACAGACACTCTGAATAATCAGAAAGAGGAGTATCAGCTACCTGCTGTACTGAATTATCAGTCTCTTGATTTTGAGAGATTAAGGTATAGCATTTAACAGAATTCTGAAGATCATAGCATATTACTGCTTTACAGATCTTAAACACAGGTGTTTTTCTGAAGCAAGATGTATGCACTGCCTGTAATCCAGTAGAACACTAACATTTGCAGGGAGAGTTGTGAGAGATTCATGGCTAATTGATAGCAAGGGGAGATTCTTATTCTCATCCTCAGTGGTGAAATGAGTTGGTTTTTTTTTGTAAGCCAAGTATGCAGATAAAAAATTGGCAATAATCTAAAAAGTTAACTCTTACCCGTTAGGTAGTGCATGTCTGAAACAACCTTTGCACCTTTACTCGTCTTATTAGAACATGTCTGTAGATGGCACTGTGGAGAAAGTTTGCCAACTATGTCCTTCACATCTGTTTATTTTCTGTTAGAGCTGGTAATTACCAAGAGAACCAAGCAAAGATGTAGGGGATGCATTGAGCAATCTAGTGGCTCATTTGTAAACAAGCTCCATTAATTTAGTATTAAAATGTCAAGCTGATCTTAAGAAATTTGGACAGTATTAAGAATGAAATGACTGTTGGTATCACTTGCCAGTACAGTGGCAAGGTGCACGTGGAGTTAGGAGTCAACCAGTCTACTTAAAATGCATCATCACAGACAATGATCTTTGGCACCAGAGCCAATGGAGTATGCTGACTGATCCTAATTTGAGCATTTTCCACTGGAAAGAATAGGCCTGCCTTGTAGGTGGATGTCCACTGTGTAGAAGGATTTCTGTCACCTGCTGAAACATAGCTGGCAAGAGATGGTTCGCAGCAGTGACATTTGAGTTGCCAGTTGCAGTGGCTGTGGACACAGACCTGGTATCTGACACGTCCTGTGAGGTCATTTCCAGGCACATTGGAAAAAATTATTGGAACACAAGTCTGGAAGTGATCTGTCAAGCTGTCTGTGCTAGTAGAAAAGTATTAGGAACAGCCTTACTCGCTATCAGTCTTCATTGGCAATCAGTGGAAAAAGAGGAAGGAAATACATGTGCATAGGTTACCACTGTATGAAATTATCTGAGAAGGGGCTTGAGTTCTTTCTTCCCATAGTGTTGAGAAGACTCAGGCGAGGTTTGGCAGAAACCTCTTGGGGTGCTTCCTGCCTGCAGGAAGGGTGTCAGGCACTGATGTGAGTGTGATGCAGAGCCACTGGGGTGACCCCCACCAATACCCTTGGGTTTGCTGTCAGCAGAGAGGGAATGCTTGAGCTCTCCTTGCTACTCTTCATGGTGGGGATTTTGCCTGTCAGGATTTGAATTTCAAAATATTTGGGAAAATGAAGAGCCTTCGCACTCTCAGTAGGGTGAATATTAAATTTAAGCTTTCAGTGCAGGTAATCTTGTAAGTTTCAATGCAGTTTGCTGCTTTCTTGGACAAAAAGGAGACTATTAGTTTGAAATTATTTGGGTTATATTTAGTTCACTGAATAGTAGCAGGCAAGGCTTTGCATAATTGAGTGAATGTAATTATTCTGCTGTTACCGGAAGAAAGTTGCAATGAAAGTCATATAACAGACAGTTTCAGGAATATGGAAATTCAAGAAGCCCCTAAACTTTCAAAGGAAATAATTTTCTAGGCAAGGTGATACATATTCAGCAGAATTGCATCAAACTGGATTACAGTATTTTGGATTGCACGAAATGTAGTGGAAACCAGCATTCATTACTCTCTTTTTTTTTTTTCTGAATCAATTATGTAATATATTTAGACATTGCAAAGATGGTAACAGAACAGATAAAATATCTGAACTTTTAACTAAAATACTGATGAAAAGGAAGCATAAACTATATTAGCATTAGTTATGTAATAAATATAGCCATGCAATAAGTTAAATTCACATTTTATTAATTGACAGGCAGCTAATTAGTATCTTGATTAAAGAAATCTCAAATATTTATTCATTAAGCATTTTTTTTACTCACCTGATTGCTCTGATGACAGTTTTAAGAGCAGGGGTGAGATCTTCTACTGACACATCACACTGGCACCCTTTATCATCGTAAACATCATCTGTTCCAAGACTGGTGTCAGCTGCAAAATACAAGAGGAGACTAAACAAGCAGCATTTAAAAATCTCTTCCTTAGCGTTTACTAACTGCCTGCACACTGGTTCTGTAAAAATAAGGACTACAAATCAAGCAAGACAGAACTTCATCAGTTTATGAACTATATGATGTACTTGTGCGTGTCTATGCTTGTGTCATAAAAGGCCTGGGTAGTCCCCAGTGTAAATAGTAAAAGTTAGAAAGGAAGCAAGCCGTGTTATTTTTCAAACAAATTAGGTGTTGAGTACCAGTATGTCTTTTCCTGATGTCTCATTGATTTTCATCACATTCTCTGTCTTAAGGGAAAGTGGTGAACTAACAGATGGAATGGCAGAATCAAAAGAGGCTGAAGTTATGTTAAATTGCTATTTTTTTACCACTATGGATCAACCTGCCATTCAAGATAGAAGATCTGTTTCATTTAATAAGGAGGCTGTGGAATGATCCGGCACTTTATAGCAGATGAAAAGAAACACAGTACCTTTTTACCAGAAATTAATAGAGAATGAAATCCATCGCAGATTATTTACCACCTGATCCCTCAGAGCTATGTAGATATTGCAGCCTTACTTTGCAATAGGAACTTAAGCCAAGTTCCTGTATTTATTTGCCTGAAAAAAATGAATCCTCTACCCTTCCTAACACCACCTTTGCAGAGCTGCCCTTTGAGATTTACCTAGAAATCTCAGAAGTGCCCAGCATACCTCAACACACAAAGAAAACAGGGACTGATGCATGACCAAGAAGGTTTACAAACTTAAAATGTGCTGGAATAGAAATGGAGCAAAGAGCACAGGATCAGTGCGTGCCCGTACATCATATAAGTCTTGAAAGCATGTAAAGTACAGAAAAACTCTTGAGGATAGGTGTTATTTCCTCCCAAACCATGCTTCTTCAACTGCATAAAGTCCAAGTGCCCAGGTGAAGAATTTTACCCAAAGTCACTGTATTTCAACATGTAAAGTGCCTCTGCTTCATGAGAAAGAGTGTAAAATGTGGAAGAGAGTGTAAAATGGAGAAAAAATAATGGGATTTAGTAACTCTCAGTAACGGAGGAGATTTCTTCCAAGTCCTATGCCCCTGCCTACATTCATGTTGTTATTTGAAATACAGGCTTAATCATCCAGAAATACAGCAAGTAAGCCATTTCAGGGGCTTTATTATAAGGAGAGTTGAAGTGCAATCAGATACAAATGACTGCAGGACATTTTTTGCGAGTCCCTTTTCAGAAGGACTGTAAATTAAAGTAAATCTGTAAATCCAGTCAGAAGTGCCTGGAAATTTCGTGGTACCTTTTAAATTTAATAGGAATTCTATCTTGGTATAAACAGCATTGTACTAGGCTGCATTTTCAGGAACTGGTGTTGCTGCATTGTTGTCTTCACAGTTTTAATATTTCGACACAGTGATTTATTTTGATGGCTCTGACTAGTTCATTACCCTCAAGAATATACTTGCTGAACTGGTACACTGATGAGGAACATTTCCTTTGAAGAGCAGGAGATTTCATCTTTGACAGATCAGTTTAATACAGAAGGAAAGATGGTTTATAGCCAAGTTAATTATATGCTTAAGTACACATGAAACAATCAAACACAACCTTAAAAAAATCAGTTTCACATTGTAAAAATGAATTTTTTCATACAAGACTTTGAAATCTCCCCTTCCATGCTCTTGTTGTAAGTTGTGCCTACAGTGATGACAAGAGTGCTTTTTTTCTTTTTGTAGTTTCACTAGCTTTGCTACTACTATTCTATGATTCTATGATTCGATGACTTGGCTTGTCTTATTGATAAAATATATATGTCTCTCCACCTATCCTGCCTAACATTTGTATCGCTGCCCAGAAATGTGATTAGCTAAAATAAACTGTGTAATTAGTTTGAAAAGTATATACACTGGCTAAAACCCCCTCTCTCTGAAGGTTCTCAGCATTTCAAGACACTAACTTTCCAGGTGTCATGCCTGGTGTCATGCCTGATCATCCTCTCCAGTTACCTCTCCCATTGCTAACATCTCCCAACTCTCTAAGTTCAGTACTAAAACCAGAGATTTTTCTGCTACTGTTATATCCAGAGGATCCCTAAGGTTTGAACCTACTCAGATATGCCAGTATAAATTAGGAATAATTCTGCTAAAATTGCAAGATCTGCAATCATGTAAACCCAATGGAATAGGAGACTCCAACTTGAAAGTTTTAAATTAACATGGATCTTTCACTGATACAGTTCCTGGGTCCTTTCCAAGAATAGTGTCATTAATAGAAGCTTCCTTAACACAGTATATCTTTGCAGAACCATTTTCAGAACAACCTAGTGCAGATATAGCATTCCATGTGGATACAAAACCCAACAAAACCTTTAGACAGAGGCTGAAAAATTCGTATAAATTTAAGCCAGCTTTAAGAAGAGATATACCTCTAATAAATCACCTTTTTTTTTTCATTGTAATATTCCCACTGACATGGATTTCCATCATTATGGCAGGCTCTCAGTACCACATAGAATCATAGAATCGTTAGGGTTGGAAAGGACCTTAAGATCATCTAGTTCCAACTCCCCTGTCAATAAAACTTGCAAAAAGCTATAAAACTTGTTTGATTCATACGGGAAACATTCATGTTTCTTTAGAGTACTGAGCAGACTTGGGAAAAAAGTTTGGGAAATGCATAGTAACAATTTGGAAAAAAAAAAAAATCCAGCATAAAACACCAGTGAAATCAAAGTTCACATTCTGATGAATTTTTCCAGTGGAAGCTTATGTTGTGTAGGACATAGTTACGAGGTGAGATGTATCGCTTCTGGCCCTCTTGAGTTCATCCTTGAGGTCAGAGCTGTGCTGGGGTCAGTTTGGCCACTTTGGAGCTCCAGCTGTTAAAATCCCTGCAAATTCCCATAAGAGGCTAAGTTACAGCCTCTGACAAGCCTCAGTCCAAGCTGCTGCCTGTTCCCAGAGAGAGCCTTCCACATCATTAGCAGGGCAGGTAGATCCTCTGGTGGCAGCTTATGCCGAGGCTTGCACATATCTTCCTCATAATTCCCGTACCCTTTGTCCATGACACCACAAGATACCTTAGGTAGCAGCTGCTCTGCATGAACCTGGCTGCTCTGCCAAGCCTTCCTATGGTTAGCACTGGTCTTTCCTTCTCTCCAGGAGCCTCTACCAGCAGCTAAACAGGCCTTTCAAGTCTGTTGCTGGGTCAGCTCATGAATCACGTCTCAACTATGGCATGTCTCTTAATACAAATTTAGACATACCGTTGCAAGTCTCCATGAAAAGGGGTGTGAGCCAGTCTCAGAATCCAGACACAATTACCCTTTTCTAATACCGACATCTTTATGATTCAGGATGTGTTTTGATCCTAAATGTCAATCTGGAAAATGTTTATTTCACAACTGATGAGGCATCCGCCACTGTCTTACAATCTTTGACATTATTTACTTTGGGCTTCAGTCTTGTTATTGCCACTTTTTAATTTCTTTCTCTTTCTTCCTGAAGAAGTCTTTGATTAATCACACAGCAAATCAGCAATTACCAAGAAATAGATGAGAGGCATGCACAAGTCATTACAATTGTCTTAGTATTTCCTAGTTTGTCACAGCATTAATGCATTCTTCATGCAAACTCCAGTCATTTATGATCACCACAAATAAATGGGCAAAAATGTTACTCCTTTCTGAAACATTTTATGTCATCGACAAAAAACTTACAAGTTTTTAGCTGCATTTCATATTGCTCTGCACAAAAGTTACGCAGAAGGCTTGATTTATTATTTCTGTAAACATCACACGTCCTTTCTTTGAAGTGTTTTCTGTTGTTTAATAACATGTTTTGGCAATGGGAAAATTGTGACACTGCTCTGATCACCCTCATCGCTCCACGCTTTCAATGTCAGTAACATTCAAGTAATTATGTGTCTGTTTAAACAGAATCAAAAAGTTTTTGTACTTTTTAATTTGTTTTCTGGGAACTGCCATATGCTAGCTACGACTATCCAGCATTAGTAAGTGCATGTGCTGACACCATAAACAGCTCTATGGAAGTGCCCCTAACACAGTGATCAGTGATCCCAGCATAGACCCTTTAACTTGATTTTTGGTAGCCTTTGGAAGCACTTTGATCTTAGTTTGATTGTACAGGAAGTAGCTAGGGCTTTTCATGTGGGTGATCTAAATTATTCTGCTGAGGCTGAGTACCCACCTTTCAGCCATGGCAAAACCTAAAAAGGTGCCTGAAGATGATAAACTGCATATAACTCTCAATTATTCATGTTACAGCACAGTGTTGTGTCAACTTGGTAAAAGAAATATTTGGAAAAAAAGTCTGATTTTCACTGTAATGCATGACTCAACGTGAAAAATGGACGGTGACCTAATTTTCACAGGTGCTGAGTTATATCAAGTCATAGTTTATAGCCGTCATTCAAAATCCAGAGTTCAGCTTGGGAACTGAAGTCCAAGCAATTCATCATGCAGGTCCACAGCACGTTCTCCACCCCCTCTGGCAGCTTCATCCATGCACAGAGGTGTTCCTGGTGCTCAGGGCAGCAGTGCAGGGCACCCCAGCATGGCACACTCATCTCCAAAGTCGTCTGGTGCATGAGTGGTCAGAAAGAAAATGAGTGAAGAATTCAGCGCATCTAACTTCTGGGCAAGTAAAAGTAGACATAAATTCCAACCGTTTGGAGGACAGGTTGTGACTGTAGGAGGTGTTGCTACATAGGCCTGCTGCAGGAGGGGTGCCCAGACAGCTGCTTTAGACTCCAAACTGCCTTACTCTGAAATGGCTACTAGGCTCAGGTGACCCCTCCTGTTCAACAAGCAATCCTGGCAGCTTAAGACTCTCATTATTCTGTTCTTTCAGCCCCTTCTGCAGGCAATGTAGAGCCTCTGTTATGCTGCTCTAGGTAATGCCTAGGACGCCTAAAAGATAGGTGCATTTCACTCAACTTTACACTGCCATTGAAATACCTTCCTTCACCCTGAG